GAATTAAAATGCACGTCAAAGAGACGATAATATCATTGAAATAACACGAGTCACTGAGACTAATAGATGATCAAAGACAAAGAGTCACTGAGACATTAAAGTATGTGGTGGTTAATCCTCTTACTTCATGACAAGCGTACACAGCGTTCCCAGGCTGGTAGACGATCTGAGCTTCGGCAGGTTGTCTTAGTTGTTCTACCTCTCGCCTGTCCCGGGTGGACAAGGAGATATACTTAATCGACTAGTTAGTCGCTGAGATCAACACAACTTAGCAAACAGTAGAGCTATTTACTTACAGTTTAGCCGGCCTCCCACATTCATTCTCCATACACAAGTCCCTAACAGCTGGGAGATGATCGTCCGTCAGCATTCATCACGGTATGGCGTAGCAGAACTTGAGGAATGCGTAGGTGGCGGTATCTCCTTACTTTCACCTCAACCACACGTGGTTGGATGTGTGAGATTACTCGTGGCAATAGCAGGTGGGAGCCACAAGGATCACACGTGAGACACGTGTGAGAGATACAGGTGGCAGGGCGCTACACGTGGAGGACAATGACAAGTGGTGGGATCAAAGCACGATGCTACCCGACACGGGGCTCATATGAAACAGTCTCACATGGGCTGCTGGCACAGCACTCAAGGGTAGGGTTTTCTCGCAAATTTAAGAATCGGGCAATAAGTCTAGATTTACACTAAGTCTTTCAATAATAAGTGGCAACACTCTGTATAGTCCATCTGTCACCTAGACGACCTTTAAGCCCTTCACTGCTTGATGGTTATACACATATAATGCGGTCACGATTTTCACTCTCAGTCTGTTACTCCTGGAGTGGTCACGTGATATATATCATTTTCTACAACAGTTCTCATTAAAATCACCTGAAACAAGTAAATCATCTATATCGAGAATCCGAGGGCGACCGGCAATTATTTGAATACAAAGTATAGAGATTTCAATAATAGGAGTTCGTGTATGGGGATCAACTCTAATTTGGCCGGTACGATGGACTTACGACTGTAGTGGACTCCCAGAGCAAAATGAAGCATGGCTGTAGTCAAGTGACCTTGCTCAGGTTTTCCTTTGTGAACGGTCTAGCATGCGACTAAACCAACAGCAACCAAGCACAGATGCATAAACCAATGGCAATCCCGCACACAAATCGACTAAGTCTGGACCTTGTGACGTCATGTAAGAGTATTTGGGACGTTGAGAGACCCTGTGATCTAACCCTTTTGGCCAGGCGCACACGATACTACCCTCTCACTTCTTCCTCACTCCTCCACTATAAAACACTTGAGTTGTAATAGTTGTATAATCTCCGGTTGATCGTTGAATGGATATGCAGTGGAATAACATTGGCCTACCCCGCCAAGGGGCTGTCCGTAGATACCCAGCAAGGCGGATTGAGGTCCCAGACCTAAGGAATCCCGGAGATTCCACACTTGACTACCTCTCGTCGTGCACTCTCCACAACTTAAGACAGCCGTGGAATTCACTTCTCTTAACGACATACAAGTCACACAAGGGTTCGACACTATCACTGCTTCACGAAGCCTTCCGCCAGTATGTGTTAATTTTATATTGCTTTACTAACCAGGACTTTCATTGCATCAGTCCACTTTCTTTCCCTGATTCGCCCTACTCTCACCTTCTGCTCAAGTTCCTCTTTTATAAGTCACGCTTCACGAGTATTCTTGGGCTTCACAATTCACATTTATTTCACACCCAGAATTTGTCTCTTCACCTCCATTATTTTACTTTTTCCCCACATTCACTTTGAACAATTTTCTCTCTTGCAATAAAATGTTCAGCTTGTCTATATTTGTGTAGCTATTGTTATAATAAATTTTCCCATCATAGGCTTATCTCATTAGTCCTTCACAAAATTCATATAGCGGAATACAACACTCCAAAATTTTGATTTCCATATATGTTTGTGCAAATTTACTTCCACCGGCATTCGCAGAAGTAATTAAATAAAGTGATTGTATGTTTTTGTATGCGACGTTGGAATAGAGTGAGGCTGTCGACACTGTCCAGCTGGATATGAACGAGCAGGTCAATCTTTATGTGTGTTAGCTGAGGGCGGGTCTGCCCTTCCCTGCTGCTCCTCCTCTCAGTTTCAGAGGCTTGAATCCTTCATGGAAAATTATATGTTTTGATAAATTATGAACAAGTGGGGCTTCTTTTTTTTATAGAATACAAAGGTTGGAAAGTATTATCATTCTAGGAAAAATTCACGCTAACTATTCCCTGACTGCCAAAAAACAAATACACACACACACACACACACACACACACACACACACACACACACACACACACACACACACACACACACACACACACACACACACACACACACACAGTCACAAAGTATGACGGTTGAGAGACGGGACCAAAGAGCCAGAGCTCAACCCCCGCAAACAACTAGATGAGTACACACACACACAAAGCTGTTGAAACTGTCAACGTTATATATTGTTTTTTTTTTTTAGATGGTAACAGTAGAGTTTGTGATGGCGTCACGAAGGCTCCTGCTGTATTAAAGGTGCCTCGTCGCTTCCTCCCGGGCCGAGGCTCCCGGCCACCTTCCCTCTGACTGCTGCTGACTCACGTCAAGAGCCTCTGCGTCACTTGGCGCCACAAGAACTATTTATCACGTATTAAATACATTCTTAAAGATACGGTAAAGACCAAGATACTTGATAATCGAGTCTGTTGCCAGACCGTCGGTCAGAGCGTTCAAAAGTGGACATGTACTATCTTGAGGTTATCTTGAGATGATTTCGGGGCTTTTTAGTGTCCCCGCGGCCCGGTCCTCGACCAGGCCTCCACCCCCAGGAAGCAGCCCGTGACAGCTGACGGGCTGCTAGGTACCCAGGTACCCAGGTACCTATTTTACTGCTAGGTAACAGGGGCATAGGGTAAAAGAAACTCTGCCCATTGTTTCTCGCAGGAGCCTGGGATCGAACCCAGGACCACAGGATCACAAGTACAGCGTGCTGTCCGCTCGGCCGACCGGCTCCCTTGTACACCAGTTATTTGTAGCCGTCAATAAATACTAATACAACTCCGTGCATAAGTGTCAAAATACTGAAAATTTTCCCTTAAAAACAAAAACAAAAGGAATTCTTCTTTCAGTAAAGTTAAACTCACCATTTGAGAAAGAAATTGCCTGAAATTCTCAGCGGGCGACTCGTGTTTGTGTTGTTCATTCATAAACTTTTACGAAGTAGTCCGCAGTTTGAAAGGCCGCGGACATCTTGCTTTAATTAGTGCACTTTGTGATGAACTCCCACTTGGCTCTTCACATCTCGTTCTTGGATGATGCATGTCACGACGTGCTTCAGCCGCCTCACACACTCATCACCAGCACCCAGGAGAGCAACATTGTTTAGTCCGTTAATACGGCTCCAGTAATTGTCTTTGTCCACACAACTGTAAGTAATGTGTGTGTGTGACTGTTGATGTCATGTTTACAGAGTTCATATACAATTTTCAACTTGAAATCGAGGCTTTGTTATCTTGTCACCGTGATCATATTTAAATAATAGCTTAAGATATCAATATTCATGTTATGTGTTGGCGATATAGGATTGGTCATTTCAATAATACCTAAATCCAGTATTATGTGCACATGTAACACATATATTAATGTTCAATAAATAATCCTCCTCCTCACACTGCTCCAATCGCTATCTGGTATTTCCTCCTCTGCTCAGAACTTCCATATGTGATTGATCCTAATGGATTTTCAGTACTGATTTCCATGTGTACCTTCATGTGGGACTCTTAGATAGCTTAACAGCTCAGGGGAGGGGGTGGGGGGGGGGGGTTAATGTTAAAGATAAATCACTTATGGAAGGATAACTAAAATAATCATTTTTATTATACATAAACATGCAAGTTGCTTTGGTGAACTTGAACTGAGCTGAAGCCTTTGATGAAGTTGATATTAGTTTCATCCTACAGGTTATGCATAAATTTTAGTAAATGTGTAAAATTTGTATATATTACCTCCCAAAGTATTGCTCGTAATAATGATGAGGCCATCACAGCCTTTCCAGTAAAAAAAAAAATCAACTGTTAGTAAATAGCGTCTTCTGTGTTGCTTTAAATGGCAACTCACAACTCTTTACCAAATGGCAACTCTTACCAAATGGCAAATGGAACGCCGCCCTGCTCCTTATTGTCCAAACTGCATTGTCCCTCTTACGGTCGTGCATATCCTTGTTGAATGTCCTGACTTCCAGGACGCTCGTGTGTCTTGCTTCCCGACCGTCCCCCGCGGTCACTTGTCCCTGGATAGTATCCTTGGTGGATCGGATACCTTTGATGTCGTTCGTCTTAAGCGCTTTTGTTCTCGTATTGACATCCTTAGTGATATTTAGCGCCTTTGGAATATTCCGCACATTTGATGGTGCTACATAGCATTCCCGGCGTGGTGCCTTTTTTGATAATTAACTACTTACTTAGCGAACTGGCAAGCCTTACGAAATGGCAACCCTTACCAAATGGCAACCCTTACCAAATGGCAACCCTTACCAAATGGCAACCCTTTCCAAATGGCAACCCTTACCAAATGGCAACCCTTTCCAAATGGCAACCCTTACCAAATGACAACCCTTACCAAATGGCAACCCTTACCAAATGGCAACCCTTTCCAAATGGCAACCCTTACCAAATGGCAACCCTTACCAAATGGCAACCCTTACCAAATGGCAACCCTTTCCAAATGGCAACCCTTTCCAAATGGCAACCCTTACCAAATGGCAACCCTTACCAAATGGCAACCCTTACCAAATGGCAACCCTTTCCAAATGGCAACCCTTTCCAAATGGCAACCCTTACCAAATGGCAACCCTTACCAAAAGAGCATTGTGTATTCTTTAAAACGTCGGCCGTTCTATGTTCTTATTATTGTTATCTCTTCCGTGAACTGATTATCTAAAGATACATATATCTACGTGAATGGTTTAATAATTCAAACAAATCAGTGGAAAAATTGCAAGAAAAATAAATGCGATACTTTTTCGTGTGCCTTATGACGGCCGTTAGTTGCACCGTTATTGTGCAGGTCGTTACTTGCACCGTTATTGTGCAGGTCGTTACTTGCACCGTTATTGTGCAGGTCGTTAGTTGCACCGTTATTGTGCAGGTCGTTACTTGCACCGTTATTGTGCAGGTCGTTAGTTGCACCGTTATTGTGCAGGCCGTTAGTTGCACCGTTATTGCGCAGGCCGTTAGTTGTACCGTTATTGTGCAGGTCGTTAGCTGCACCGTTATTGCGCAGGCCGTTAGTTGTACCGTTATTGTGCAGGTCGTTAGCTGCACCGTTATTGCGCAGGCCGTTAGTTGTACCGTTATTGTGCAGGTCGTTAGTTGCACCGTTATTGTGCAGGTCGTTAGTTGCACCGTTTTTGCGCAGGCCGTTAGTTGCACCGTTATTGCGCAAGCCGTTAGTTGCACCGTTATTGCGCAAGCCGTTAGTTGCACCGTTATTGCACAAGCCGTTAGTTGCACCGTTATTGCACAAGCCGTTAGTTGTACCGTTATTGCACAAGCCGTTAGTTGCACCGTTATTGCGCAAGCCGTTAGTTGCACCGTTATTGCGCAAGCCGTTAGTTGCACCGTTATTGCACAAGCCGTTAGTTGCACCGTTATTGCACAAGCCGTTAGTTGCACCGTTATTGCGCAAGCCGTTGGTTAATACTTTTACCTCACAATAACACACTTTTAATAACTCACAGATGCCCATTGGACAAAAATTAATAAAAAAAAGTGATGCTGTATGGCGATTAATTACTTGAAATTACATCAAGACCAGCCACTTTGAATACTGTGTAAAAAGTGTGCTTTAAGCATTAGCGAGTAAATCACAGTAATTGGATAAATTACGTCGTACACTTCAAGTGAGACGACACCAAGAGATATACACCTGTTTCTCGGTGTATATATATATACACTGAAGGTTTACTTTAGTCCTGGGCTAAACTAAACTAAACTTAATCTTGAACTAAACTTGTTTAGTTCAAGACTAAAGTCTTCTTACTGGTTGATCAGTAAGCTATTATGGTGGGGCGTTATAACCCTCCCGCAGTTGATATAGACCTCAATTAAACCGACACTGAACCGTTGAGACTGTGATAAGGATGCAAGAATCGAACAATAGCTGTCACTAGTCCTATTATGAGACCGTAAACTGTTTTCTAATTCTGTTATTGACGTTTCCTGTGTTGTAAGTGTTCTAAGATCACAGTATTGTTAATAATCTTCTAAACGGTATTAATTTTTTTCTTTCGACAGAGGAATTTTGTATGATATATTTTCGTCAATGTCCAGAGTGTCGCTGTTCATTGGGTAACACAAATTAGGCAATGTTTCTTGATCATTAGAACTAATACAATTTTGGAATGGTAAGAATATAATGTTTTAAATACAAATTTTTTGTCGAGACAGATATTCAGACATCGATTAAACTTTCAACAACTATACTTTTGGAAAGAACTTTTAATTTTAGCAATGACTGACAAAAACAATCAAAAATAAAAACATGTGTACACAATCTCAGTTCGAAAGCACATTAAAAATTCACGGAGGAAGTTTACTTTGAATGTTTTCCCAATCAGTTGCCATGGTTACTCCACAGTATTGGAAACCTCATCATAAATCCACGCATCGAATTTCAGAATACTGCGCATCTGTCATTATTACAAAAATAGAAAAAAACAGTTTCAACGCACAAATTGAGAAGACGGCTTCATGGCTGTATCATAATGCCGAACTCTACTATTTTTTCTGGCCCGTCCAGGCTCTCTTTCTGGTCGTGGAGATTAATCTCTGCCCATTTTCAGGCCAGAATTCTCTGATGGATACTGTTATTTAAGCATTTTGAATGATTTCATGTTTATCGAGGTGTCAGGTTGTAACGACGTTTAGTGATCGTTGGTTGTTGGAATACATGCGGGGTTTTCAGTTTTATTGACTATTATAACTCGAATTAACGGAGACACGGTAATATTGACCTGCTGCCAGCGTCAACACAAATAAGTTAGCGGAACGAGGGTAATATGTGCTGTAATGACACCAAGATCAATACTAGCACTTGACGCTTGTTAACAGAGGCAGGATAACACGGTTAATACACCCAGGTCAACACGCGCTTGACGAGAATTACTGACAATCTTCAATATAAATGCAATTCTAGGCGGTGTTGGGAGGTGTTGATATTTGAAGTCAGAGGCGATATTTGAAGTAGGAATCATGCAACGTGTATTTATTGCGTCATACATAGAGCCTTGAACGAAGTATACATCTATCTTATGTTAATATGTTGAGTTCATTATGTAACGTTAATATGTCGAGTTTATTACAACTGCAATATTGTTGCAGCGAACACACTGCGGAGGGGGAAGGGAATATATGCAACAAATGGTGGGAATGGAATTCAAAATGCAGGGGGGAAGGTAATATTAAATTCAAGGGAAAGGAGAGTATAAAATTCATGGGGTAAAAGTGAATGTAAAATGCAGGAGGGATAGATATATACAATCCATGGAACATGGGATATAAAATGTATGGGGGTGAAATTTAATGTACAATGAAGAGGTGGATAGGGAAAGGCAGGTGGGGGGGGGGGATATGAAGATGGTATTAAAAGTATATAAACAGAAGTTGAAAACAAAAATAAAAGCATAGTCTAAATCTTGAAGTAGTCTACACACATTCGATTGTATTATCGAGCATTAGGATCTCCCTTGGAAGGCGGTAAAATATAGGAAATCTTATTTTCCTTTGTTATTCCTCAACTATTATGGCCAAATAATGCTGTGCGGGCAGTCGTCAGACGAAGCTCGAGTTTACTACGGTGGTGCTCATACCTCTTGGTGTCAAGCTTCCTTGACAAGGAAGCCTTGACACCAAGTTTTTAGTGGTTTGGATTTTTCCAAGTTCCCGTCTCATAAAGGGATGAGGCTGTGTTCATGCGGTCACCGATGCTGGTACCTGGTAGGCTGGGTGTCGATATTTTGAGCATCAGAGGCAATACAATTTAAGATACCGTAAAACATGTTTTATCACTCTCTCTCTCTCTCTTTCCCTCTCTCTCTCTCCCCTCCTCCCCTCCCTTCCCACCCTCCCCCCCCCACACACGATCTCGACACGTGACCCGCTGGCCACTTACAGAACATTACGAGTCACCCCACGTAAGACCTGGAGCCATTTATCACGGCCGGGTGAGATAGAATAGGTATTTCCCCCTTCATTTGTCTGGATCATTGTAAATCACTTTTATTTTAAAGAAAATCCGGTGGATATATGACCAAGATGCTCATACTGTACCCCAGAACATATTCCCTTCAAATTTGGGTGAGGCTAGCCCCTAGCGTTTGACCTCCAGCTTTGGACAAACACAGACATTGTTTTATATACATTTTCTTACTAACATTATGACCGTTTCAGGAGGTGTGAAGGGTGCGCGGTGCAGCAGTCCGGTGAGATAACCAAGGTAGGTGCTGCAGGCGGTCATTGCTCCCCTCACATCATCTCTACATTATAATATAACTATTACTGAAATCTTTCCTCTGATAATGTACATTTTCACTACTGATTTAATGCATTGTAATTGACATGGAAGTGTGGATAAGCGGAGTTGATATTCTGTTCTCAAAAGTGCTGATATATAGACGTGTTGAAGGCTATATACACAACCATTTTACCTGGAGCATACCTGGGGAGGGTTTCGGGAGTTCTTATACTCCTCGAGTAGATATTGTCGTACTACAAAATGAAAGCGGCTGGCGAAAGTGACGCACTGTCTCGTTTTCTGTTTTGAGTCCTCTTGTTGGTTAGGAAAAGACACTTTAAATTGGCCGTTTTCTTGACGTTGGTAAACCTTAGGAGGACGGCTGAGAAGTGGTCAAAACCTTAAATATAGCTGTGAAAAGACAGCGGACCTGATAATGGTATACAGAACAATTTGGGTATCTTCTAAATATGTGTTTCTGCACGTTAGATTCTGATACAATGACTCCTTGTAGGGAAAGCTGCCTTGACGAATAAGTTCACATTCGGTTTAAAATGGTTTTGGTTCTGCTATTTTTAATGTTTTGCTCAGGGGTCGTATTTTGTTTATTGGCTGATGTATATTCATGGGTGAGCACTGGCGTAAAATTGAACAATGTAGTGTTATTTTTATCTGTATGCCGCAGGGAGAGAGAAGTCATTATATTAATGACAAATGCCAGTCTTTCTTGTGGAAAAACGGGAGTAATCGATGGATGTTCTCTCCTAATATTTAACTATTTAATAAGCTGTTAATTGTGTTCATGGAGAAATAGATCATTATCTATTGGCCAGATTGTCACAGTTTTAACTAAGGAGTAGCCAGCCTAATATTAACCTTCAAGACATCTTCGCTAAGCTGTCTGAGGGAAAAATTTAAACTAAAGTTTGAGAGGAATAATGGCCATTTTCTATACTCTGGAGACATAAAGCATTTAGAAAATCACTTATTACCCAGGGACAAAAACCATATTGTTACATTCCGTAATTAATAAGTCAGGGTCATATATAAAGTTCTGGAAACCTCTCATTTGTGCCTTAAATTAAACACAAGGATGAATCAATATCAACGTTATGGAAAATATTTATATATTTCATTTGTGTTTTGTAAACCTTTTCCAAATGTGAACGGAAAATATAGTTCAGCAAGGACTGCTCGTTCCTAATTTTTGCTGATATTCACAACAGTGAATTAGAATTCAATTCAGAAATTGTATTTTTGAATCGATCTTCTAATGTTAATACTCACGAGTCCCTGTATAAAATGTATTGTTAATCACATAGACAATTTGTACAATAATATGTTATATATATGAGGATTATAATCAAGCTTTTAAAATCGTCGAGGGGGATTATCTGGATTCAAGTTGGGAGCCAGAAATCCCCCGCTACATTGCGGAGATCCGGGGCTCAAGACTCTCCAATACTTTAACAGACGAACTTGTGTTTTGTGAAAACTTCTCCAGGATTTACGAGGCCGGACAGAGGCCCAGCATGTTCAAGAGAGGCTCTTCTTGCGTTGCTGTCATGCAGAATATGCGCCTTATTGCAGCCGCTTCAAATACTTTACCTTTCTGGCTCTTTTGCGAATTTAAATAATTTTTGTACTCAAATATTGACGTTTGTCTGTAGATATCACAGCACCGAAACTAAATATTCCAGAGTTTAAAAAGGAGTTTCTATATATCGTTCTGTGTTCTAGTTGTTATCATCATATCTCGTTATGTTTTGGGATATCTCAATCGAAGCTGACTTTTGTAATATTTATATCCTGATAAATAATAATAAGAAATAGAAGAACTTAGGCGCTAGAATCTTAAGGAAATGCATTTTTTTTTAGTTTTACTGATATTATTATTTTTATTATTATTTAATTACTTTTATTTATTTCTTCTGTTATTGTAATATTATACAAGGCATCTCACTGGACGTGTGAACCAACCAGGTTGTTGGTGCTGTCTGGAAAAGCAGTGAACATGTGAAAGTTTATAGTCTGTAAGGAGTTTGTGTTATATTTGGCGAGTGGAGCATGTGAGTTATGTAGATGAGGGTGGTGTTAGGACTGGTAAGAGTGGAGATGCTGCTCGTGGTGAGATAGTGTGCGTTTCTCCTTCATGAGAGTTGGCTTTGCGTGCGGGCTTCATGTGTTGGCGGGCTGTGGAACCCTCATGTGTTGGCGGGCTGTGGAACCTCATGTGTTGGCGGGCTGTGGAACCTCATGTGTTGGCGGGCTGTGGAACCTCATATGTTGGCGGGCTGTGGAACCTCATATGTTGGCGGGCTGTGGAACCTCATGTGTTGGCGGGCTGTGGAACCCTATATGTTGGCGGGCTGTGGAACCTCATATGTTGGCGGGCTGTGGAACCTCATATGTTGGCGGGCTGTGGAACCTCATATGTTGGCGGGCTGTAGAACCTCATGTGTTGGCGGGCTGTGGAGGAGACGAAGTTGGAGGGCGAGTTTGGGCTTAATGGCGCCTCTTCACTGCCTCTTATTCCTCCCGGATCTTTATTTTGACCAAACTCTGGCGAAGGTTTTCTTGATACTTATATGAAGTAGAGTTTTTTTTATCCGCTAGGTCAGTCATTATGATAATGTTCTCACACACACGTATGCTTTTGGTTTCTTATATATATATATATATATATATATATATATATATATATATATATATATATATATATATATATATATATATATATATATATATATATATATATATATATATATATATATCCTGGCTCCAGTTACCCTCTCGTAGATGTTGGGGGGGACACAGAAGCCATATTACCACACACCCAAGTTACTTTGGTAAAATATCAAAAGCCATCTGCAGATCAAAGCCACTTCGGCCACCTCATAAGAGACGTGTTCGTCTTCTCCCTTTCTGTTGGTATATTTTTCCCCAGTAATAGGTTTTTGTATTTTTACTATTCTTAGTTTGCCGCCCTTGCCTAGTATCGTGTCCAATTTACCTTCGCTGCTCTCCCTTTTGTACCTTTTTCTATTGAATTCCAGAGATAGATTTAAAAAACGATCGTCGCGATAGTCTTATTTCTGTTTTTAAAGTCTCTCCTCCTGCCAGGTATAAAAATAGTTGCTGTAGTGTCTTTTTTCCTTCTGTGCAATAAGTAACCAGTTCTTTATATATTTGTTTAGACTTTTATTGTGGTCCAAATTGACAGAATGCTTGGATGTCGGTTTTCGGGTTTAAGGACTGCCCCTTCAGGCAGAGTGGAGTATGCATGTGGCAGCTGACACCAACACCTCAGTGGCCCAGTTGCTCTGAGGCTCCTGCGAACACTGCAAATGTTCCCTTAACAAGAATTTTCAACACTGCGTCCCTGCCTACTGCTGAAGTAGTAAAGTCTGCACAACCTTTCTGAATCAGTGACGTATATTACAGCCTCTTATAATGAGTTTAGATCTTTTGATATTTCTCAACCTGTATGTGTCCTCATCCTGAGCCCTTCTTAGTGTTGTCCCTCAGCCCGCATCCTCCCTGTGTATTCCCTCAGGGTCACCCCACCCCCCCACCCCCCCCTCTCTCTCTCTCCACCCTCTATCACACCGTCCGCTGTCTCTCGTAGCTGCTGGGAACTGGGATGCCAGAGGAAGAGGTTTGTCTTCAGATCTAGGGAACGTATTACACAATTCTTCAAATGACGTCATTTGCAGAATCTGCTTCACTATTCAAAAAATAAATCTAACAAGGAGTCAGCGAGTGGTTGAGTGTGGTAGGCTCTCCAGGCTCAAGAGAGGCTATTATGGTCCCATTGTTGCATGGTTATGCATTTATCGTTGCAGCTTGCAGATAAGGAGAGCTGACGAGACGAGGTGGTGCAGTGACTTAAGTGCTGGTTCAGCTCTCATTGGGTCTTCCTGGTGATCTTATCCTGTTATTTGTATCTTCGCCTCTCTCATTTGGTCCATCTGTTGTTTCTCACTTGGTCCATCTGTCGTCTCTCATTTGGTCCATCTGTTGTATCTCACTTGGTCCATCTGTCGTCTCTCACTTGGTCCACCTGTCGTCTCTCATTTGGTCCGTCTGTCGTGTCTCACTTGGTTCACCTGTCGTCTCTCACTTGGTGTATCAGTCGTCTCTGATTTGGTGCATGTGTCGTCTCTCACTTGATACATGTGTCGTATCTGTCACCTCTTCTCCCAGTCGCCTCACAAGCAGTAAGAAACAGCGTGTGATAACACTCAACAACACGCTGGGCTGTTGAAGATGTTCCGGATACATTTCCTGTGAATATTATCTTGGACAAGCTGTCACATTTGAGCCCTGCTGGTAGCAATCCTCTGGTGCTCAGAGACCTCACTTGCATCACAGATTTGGGAACAAAATCTCTCGCTCGATATGCTGGGGTGTGGGAGTCTGGTGGCAGGATATCTTGTACGCTACTCTGAGCTTGGTGGTGGTGGAAGAAAGTGAATGTTCTTTACGATAGCTTGTATGAAAGGAAATGATCTTGTGGAGGTGATGTATCCGGTGTAGAAACCTGTTGGCGAGGGAGGAAGGAAGAAGTTATAAGGTATTGAAACACTTTATTGTGGAGGGTGAAGAGGGTTGGGAGTTGATATATATCTTGTCGAAGCGCTCTTGTTGGAGGAAAATAGTCTGGCGCTGAAATATCACGTAGGAAATTACGTTCAGCGTTATACAGTATCTTTAGTATTAGTTACTTCAATGGCAAATTCTCAAATGTTTCAGTTGATGCATGAAATAATGCATGCTGAAAATGTATCACTATCGTATACTTTTCTTAGATGCGTTCCACATCCAGTTAATCAGTGGGGTTAAGAAAGAAGAGGAGTATTTCAGACTGAGAGAAAAACAAATAGAGCGGAGTGCAGCCTGGTGACAGATCCATCAAAGACGTCCAGAGTCGTAATCCTGTTTGCTTTCTTCAGCCAGTAGGGAACTTTTAGCTTCCAACT